GGGGGGGGGGGGGGGGGGGGGGGGGGGGGGGGGGGGGTGGGGGTTTGGGGGGGGAGGGGGAGGGAGGTAAATATTTGTGAAAGTTTTTTCCCCAAAATTTTCAATAAAAAGAAAAAAGAAGAGACTTCCCCTTCTTTGGTTTTAGGTGAATTCCTGGCATTCCCAGGCAGGATGGCAGCCATACAGGAATTCTGGCTTAGGCCAGCCAGCCAACCTTACTTTTATTCCCCCCCCCCCGGCTTCTCCAGAAAAGGTGGCCTGGGATTTCCAACCCTCCCAACTAACGGAAGGGAAGCCTGGTGTCCGCTGATGGCAGAGGCTCTCCTGCGTTGTGGACAGTGGCCGTCCCCAATCCTGCACCGGCCAAAGAGCCGTAATTAGGGCTAGATTTCAACACAGCCAGGAAACTTTCCACCCGCAGCTCCTGCAGCCTTGCAGCAGCCGAAGCCCTCTGCACCGGGTTCAGCTCGCAGCTGTCCATGCTGGGCAACAGCTGGCGAGGGAAGGGGAAATTGCACCATCTCGCCCGGAAGCCACACAGGCCCTGAAACCGACCGGCTGTCAGGCGGCCTCCTTCCACACCCCGAAAGGAGCAGGTGGCTCCTCTTCAGTTGGGAGGACACATTCTGCTCGAACGACAGGCCAAAAGCTCTGAGGTTTGGGAGGGTCCTGGAGGCTGAGCGTGGTTGACCCCTCTGTTCCAGCTCTGAGCTGCAAATACGCTTCTTGACCTGAAGCTTCTTCCCAGCAGCCTCTTCAGGCCCCGAAATACGAGGAAGGCCCACCCTCAAGAGCCACGTTGGCTCTTTCCACCGGTACCACGTCTTCTCTGCCCCTGTCCTGTGGCTCCATGGCCGAAGCCCCCACTTTCTGCAGGAGGAGCCTTCCCTTGCCCAGGCCCAGCGGTTGCCATCCTTCCTCTTGGGGCCCAGCACACCCCCCCCTCGCAGCTCCCTTTCATTTCAGTCTTGACGCCCGTGAATTGCGATGCCCAGAGGTCCATCGGGTGAGATTCATCAACTGGCAACAAGGAGCAGCCAGTTTTCTTCTGATCTGCCCAACTTTCTTTGGAGGCTCCGTTCCCCCCAGCGCTCCTCTTGGGAAGTCAGGCCTAGTGCTCAGCTACATTTACCTCCCTGCCCTTCCAACGCAGCTTTGGCTGCTTCTTAATTTCTGATAGATTCATCCCACAATGCCTGAAAATGGGGGGCCAGGGGGGAAGACGCCCTCAGGCCCATCCACAGACAGCAGGAGGTGCTGCATCCTGAGGCTCCCGCAGGCCCAGGCAGGCTCTGGCCATGGCCGCAGGCGGATTGTGCCAGGGAGGCCCAGCTGGGCCCAGAGGTGGCTGGAGAACAAACGGCCAGCCTTATCTCAAGCGAACAGCCCTGAGTTCACACAATTGTGTGACATTTGGAACAATGGCCTGTGATGAAACTGGCCTGCACTGAAGCAGGGGGCAGGGGGAGATTCTGGGCCAGGGGGCATCCAAGGGGACGAAGGGGAGGGGGGCCAGGGAGACAAGGCAGGGTGTCACCCCAATTGATGTTCTGCATCCCGGGCAGGAAGGAAGCCCTGGCAGTGCCAGCAGCAGCCCAGCCACCCGCTCAGCCTTCCCTGCAACGTTCCCTTCTGGGCAATATTGCCCTTCCTTTCCACTCAATGTGAAATATTCAAGGCAACAAGTGTCCCGACAATCTAGCTGTTCAAAAACACAGAACAAAAACACAACCTGGGCCAAAGTCAGCATCCGACACACCCCGGGTGCAGCTGGTGGGTAACAACAGAGGCCTCCAGCAAGGCCAGGTCAACAGTGCTGCTGGGCGTGGACAGAAAGGCAGGTCCTCCCAGCGAGCGCCCACCGTCCTCCAGCAGGGCCTGGTCAACTGCCCAACCCTCCCCTGGACTCCGGACGGGAAGAGGCACCCCACAAGACGGCCCTCCCACACCGGCATCCCAAGGGGCACGGCCCCCTCCCAAGAGGCCCCAACTGGACACCTGCAGAGTGTAACGGAAACCAGACTTATGTGGCAGAACCAACCAGCTGGTTTTAGCACCGTCTTCCCACAACCGGCCTTTGCTTCCAACTTGACCAATGCTGCCTGGGGACTCTAAGTCTGGGGGTCACCAGGAGGGGGGAATTGAGGAGCCATCTGTGCTTCACCAAATGGACCAGATGGGAAGGAATCCACTCACCACCAGGGGGTGGGTGGGGGGTTGCAGGAGCACCTGTCTTTCTGAGAGACCTGGGCACGGCTCCTGCAATGGCCACCCCAGAGGCTGGCGGAGTGGGGAGACCAGGCAAGGATGCAGCAGCCCTGGTCCCTCACAGCCACATCAGTTTCTAAGCCTCCCCTGCCTGGACCAGCCAGGAATCAGGGTTAAGGGGAAGGCCAACCCAGCCAGCCAGCAGAGGCCCCACAGAGAGGGGTCTCCTTTGCAAACCAGCTGCTTCTGGGCCTCTTGTGGCACCAGCACGGCTGCCCCATGGGGTATCAGTGGCCGTGGGACAGGCCAGAGTGGGCAGCCTTCCAGATGGGACAAAACAACCAGCATTGCCCCAGGTGTGCCCAACATCTGGGGAAATGGACTTGTGGTCAAGGTTCCCCTGGTGGTGGGGGGCCTGGCCAGCCTTCTTCCAGCCCAACTGCACTTTCAACCCCACCCAAAGGTCCAGACCAGAAATCCAGCAGCCCCAGCAGTCGCCCCCCCCAGGGGTCGAGAAAGGCCTTCTCTGCCCCCCCCCCCCAGGATGGACAAAGTGCCTCCAGTGGGCTGGAGAAGAGGAAGATGAGGGGCGCCCCCGCCCGATGCTTCTCCCCACCACCGCCCTGCGGCGCCCGCACCCCTCCCCCGGCCGCCTCCCGGGAGTGACTCGGCGTTTCGGGAGCTGAGCGGCGGACGGGGGGGGGAGCCGCGCTCTGCACGCGCCCCGGAGCCCCGCGCGCCACTCACCGGTCGGGGTGGTTGCGGCCGTCC